ATGCAAACCATCTTCTCTGCTTCCTCTGCTCACTGTTCAAAAGACCCCTTGGGCATCTGGGCACAGACCCCCAGGGCCGCATCCATGGTGTGACTCCATGCATGCTGCATAGGGCAGGGTGGGAGCCTTGGTGGGAACAGAGGGAGAGCAGCCAGTAGAGATGCTGGGACTGCAAGAGGGTCCCGAGAGGAGTTTTGCTCCCTTCCCCAGGGCAGCCCTCAGGTTTGTAGGATTTCCCTGTGTTGTTGTCCTCCTAGTCTCGATGCAGATCAAGATTCATTGAGAAGGAAAACAAGGATTATGTTTCCATTGAGGAGCTCCAGCTGAGCAGGATGGGTTTGGGAAGCATTAAACGTGTTCCCATGGGCCCTGCCTCTCAGCCACTTCGTCTCGTTTTCCCTCTGTGTCTCTTCCCTGGACCGCTGTCCTGTTGGTCCCCGTTGGTTGCATTGCAGCTGCACAGATTGCACCGTCAAGTTGTCATTCGTCATCGCTAGGAGGGCAGCAAAGCAGCTCGCAGCTTGTTTCGCCAAGCTGCCCCAGGTCCACCACTGAGAGGTGTGTGTGTGTCTGTCCCGTGGGCAGCTCCCATCTTCCCTCCACTGCAGCTGTGCAGGGCTGTGGGTAAAGCTATGATTTCTGCCCTCATTATGCATCACCACAGCTCCTCTCCAGCTCTGGGCCTTTATGTTGTAAGCCATGCTGTGCCTGGCTGTGCTGTGCTGCAGCAGATGATGTGGCCCTTGGTGGGGTTGCGTGCTCAGAGGCATATTGGTTGCTGGGGTCCAGCATCACGACCTCTCCACCGTGTGTGCTTCACCCTTGTGTTGTCACGTGACCCAAAAAGCATCATACTTTGGAGAAGCTGCATAGTGTAGGGGCAGGGCAACATCTCTAAGGATCACTTGTAGCCAGTGATCACAGCAGTGTTGGTGGGAAGGGATGTGTCAAGTCCAATGTCCCACTCAAGAAGAGGACTATTCGCAACAGTAGACCATATCAGCCATGCCTTTGTCAACAGAGCCCTGATAACCTACAAGGATGGAGATCCTCCCTATCTGTGGGTATCTGTCCCAGGGCTGCACCACCCTCCTGGAGAATAAATTTTCCTCCATGTCCAGCCTGAACCTCCCAAGCTGCAGTCCCTGGCTCTTGGCCCTCATTCTGCCCATGCCACCAGTTGATGTCCATCCAGCAGGCCTGGCCCTGCAGCACAGGCAACATCTTGGGCATTGATCTCATGTGTTACCAGTGATGTGATGACCAGGACAGGGGACAAATCACCCTTCCCTCCCTGCTCAAGAGAGATGTGAGGCTCTGGGTGGGCAGGCGTGTCCTGCCCATA